TTCGGCCGTATCTTGAACTTCGACTGCATCTTGAACTTCGACTGTGTCTTGAACTTCGACTGTATCTTGAACTTCCACTGTATCTTGAACTTCCACTGTATCTTGAACTTCCACTGTATCTTGAACTTCCACTGTATCTTGAACTTCGACTGTATCTTGAACTTCGACTGTGTCTTGAACTTCGACTGTGTCTTGAACTTCGACTGTGTCTTGAACTTCGACTGTATCTTGAACTTCTAGAGGAATCAGATGTCGAATAGGCCTTCGTAATATCACGGTCTTCTTATTGTCATTGCTCAAAACTCGGACTTCGGCGGAGCGAATAACTTCATCCCTACTTCGAAGAAGATTTTCTACCTTTGCTAACTTCCAATAGGTACGAGATGTATTTTCGTTCTTGAGAATGACAATATCACCTGCCTTTACAACGTTAGAACTGTTGTTCTGTATTCTTGATGATTCTCGGATGCTCAACAAATATTCTTTTCTCCATTGATCTGTAAAGTTCTTAAGAACTCTAGCTTGGTACTTGGCACGTTTCGTCAGTGATTTGTTCGTACTTACAATCTCGTAATGACTTTCGTTAGGAGTCGTTGCGATTCGACGTCCATAAATCAAACTCGCTGGTGTAAGGGGATAAGAAACACCTTGCTCGTCGTCGTATACATAGGTCAATGGACGATTGTTTAAAGTTGCTTCGATTTCTACAAGAATAGTTCGCAGTTCTTCGAATGTCAACGAGGTTCGTCCAATCTGTTTTTTTCAAACAGCGTTTAGTGCTTTGATTAACCGTTCCCAAAAGCCGCCATGCCATGGAGCCTTTTCAGGTATGAATTCCCACGAAACACCCTTTTCAGCGAGATAACGCTTTACGTTGTTTGAACGGTAGATCTTAGCTACTTCCTTTGCAGCGGCTTTGAAAGTTTTCGCATTGTCATTCCTCTTCTGATGACGAAACGCCGAAAAGCCGTCAAAAACATGTTCGTGGACAAATCTTTCAATAGTTCTAAATGTACGGCCCTTGTAGACGCACACGTGAACAAACAAACGTAGGATTTTACAGTTTCATCGTTTTCATTTACGAACAATGGTCCAGCATAATCAATGCCAGTGTTGTTAAAAGGCGGTGCATCGCTTACTCGACAGCTGGGTAATAATGGCTCTCTTGGACTCTAAAACGCCTTTCCTTCAATCTTCTTACATGTAACACACCTTTTCAAAACACGTTTAACTGCTTCTCTTCCTCTTAATACCCAATACGTCTCTCGTACGCCATTAAGAGTTGACTTAATACCGTTATGATGAACTCGTTTATGTTCCTCTTCGATTGTTAGCTCCGTAAAGCGGTGCTTAGACGGTAAAAGGATTGGTTCTTTGGTTTCTGTCGATATCGTTGAATATTCAAGTCGTCCCTTGCATCGAATGATCTTGTCCACATCGAGGAAAAGATTCAATTGGTTGATTAGCTGGTTTGGATTCTTGTGACTTGAATTCAGACGTTGGAATTCGTCTGGAAATGATGATAACTGGATGCTTTTCAACCATAACTGCTCAGCCTCTTTTAGGTTTTCAGCGATTAATTCTTCACCTTCAATCGTACTTTCCATACGTTTTATTTTCCTTACAGCTCGCAGAACCAATGCGGTAACTCGTAACAACTTAGTCTTTCAGTTGTATTCGTTGCAATCCATTATTGCTCCGATGTATAACTCGACGGATTCGGTTGAAATATTTGGCGTTGTCGACGTATGGGTCATTGTTTCAGGATTCTTCATGACTTCATTCATCGAGAACTCGGTTTCTTTGATCTCAACTTCTTGCGGCCATTCTGCTTCGTGGTTATACAGGGTGTATAAAAAAAACTAACTACACATATTTGAAATTGCTCTTATATTCGCAAAACAGCTATTAGTATCCAGTTTTTATGTATATAGCTTCTCTGGGTACTTATAATGTACAAAAATGGAAAAAAATTCTCGAACTCAAATTGTGTAAACCAGGGGTGTGTGTCTTTTCCAACAAATTAAAAATGGCTTGCGCAAGAAATTTAAAAGCTTTAATCATATTTTGAGTTGATAGATGGACCATTTGTTGGGTTTTTAATTGCTGTACAAAATTTCAGACAATTTGCTTTAGTTTAAGCCCTTCAACTATTCATTTTTATCTAAAAAATTAGCCTTTCGCATGCTTAATTAATGCCTTTACCTAATTTGTATGTTGCTAACATATGCAAATTAGGCAAAGGCACAATTAGCATGCAAATGGTGATTTTTTAAGAAAAAATGTAAGTTTGCGTGAATGGTTAAAGGGCGTAAAATGAAGCAAATTGTCTGAAATTTTGTACAGTAATTAAACACCCGACAAACATTCCATCTGTTAACTTAAAATATGATTAAAGCTTTTAAATTTCTTGCGCAAGCCATTTTTAGTTTGTTGGAAGAGACACACCCCCCTGGTTCATAAAATTTGAATTCGAGAAATTTTTTCCATTTTTCTACATTATAAGTACCCGAAGAAGCTATATACATCAAAAACCGGATACTAATAGCTGTTTTGCGAATTTAAGAGCAAATTTCAAATCTGTGTACTTTTTTTTATACACCCTGTATAGAAATTCGGGTCCTTTCCACCATCGTTTCTCATTTACTAATTCTCTCGCATTCATTCCACGTGAAAGAAGATCTGCTGGGTTTTGCACGCCAGGGCAATGTCCCCACGATTCTTGTGTTGTGCACTCACGAATTTCCTTCACTCTTGTAAGCACATATATTTCTTCCACGGTTTGGCATTCTTATCCAATAATACAACACTGTTTTCGAGTCGACCCAGTAAAAGAATTCGACGTTTTGAGACAATTCTATGGCATTCCGAATGTCACTGGCGAGTCTTGCGAGGCCTAGGATGTTTGCTCCAGGTAACTCCAATCTAGATACACCTTGTTTCTTCAATGGCGCGACCCTGGTTTTTGCTGCGATCAAATTGACATCTACAAGCCCACTTTCGTATTTCGAACGGAGGTATATAGCTGCTGCATATGCCTTCTCTGACGCATCGCTAAAACAATGAACTTGTATTGAAAGTACCTTGTTATTTATTTCAAAGTAACATCTTGGTACGCACACATTGTTCAGAGCTTGAAGATCTGATATCAGTAAGTTCCATTTTCTCAAATGTTCGCCACTTAATTCATCATCCCATTCGATGTTTTCGTTACATAACAACTGGAACAACACCTTCCACTGAATGGTAAAGGGACTTAGCAATCCAAGCGGGTCAAATATCTTTGCTGATATCTTGTTGGAGGAAGTGATTTTGCTTTATCGACAAGATTGGAAAAACTGAATTCAAGGGTATGGAGCCTAACACCTTGACCGTGTTGCTGCTCGCTTTAATTGTTGTTCCAGTCACAGTCTTTGCATAAGATTCGTCTTCTTCTTTAACGTGTTTCGCATTAGTTGGATTTGGTGAACTTTCTTCTGAAAACGTTTTCTTAAGGTTACTTGAGTTAGTGTTCCACTTTCGTAGATTAAATTATCCCTTTTGCATGATCAACTTCGCATTCGATGTTACTTCAGATGCTTCTTTCTCGTTGTCTGCACCTGACACAAAATCGTCAACATAGAGGGATTTCTTTAGCAATTCGATCAGTTGAGGGTCGAAATCTTTCTGCGTTTCCAAGTGGTGTCGGATGGTTGAGCTTAAAATCGCGGGTGAAGGTCGAAGGCCAAATACTAGGCGGGTAAATCGAAATTGTACAAGTTCTGAATTCGGATCATTTGGGTCTTTTAGCCATAGGAAACGTAACATATCCTTATTCGTGTCGTTAATTGCCACCATAAGGAAAGCTTTCTCTATATCTGCAGTTATGCCAATTCTATGCCATCTAAACTTGACGAGTGTGTCAAACAACTGAGGGATAAAGTTAGGGCCTGTCTCTAGATAATCGTTCAATGAGTACTCACGGTCTGGTGGCTTAGCTCACCCATCATAAACGATTCTAAGCTTTGTTGTTTCGTGATCTCTTCGTACCACTCCATGATGAGGTAAATAATGAACAGATTCATTATCAGTGTTTTCAATTTCTTCGTCTGGAACCTTTTCCACGATTCCATCTTGTATCTGCTGTTGAATAATTTGATTATACTCCTGTAATAACTCTGGTTGATGCAACATCTTGCGATGTAGAGATCTGAGACGTTTTTCACACAGCTGGTAATCACTCGGTATTGAAGGGCAATCTTGTTTCCATGGTAATTCAACTTCATATCGTGTTCCGTTGAAATGTACACTCTCGTTGAACGACTCGATAAAGTCTTTAGGCTCTGGATCACCTTTGATCCCAATCGATTCTGTCTCCCAAAATGTTTTCAACACATCAACTAGTGGATCTTGTGTTGTTTCAGAAAATTATGGTTGTCACTACTCCCCAATACTTCCAGATTTGTTGTGCACGTTTCATTGCACAACCCATTGTTGGTTGGTCCAGATAGAAGCCAGCCAAACTTGCTATCAATTGCTACTGGGCCAAATTCTCCTCGAACTGTATCACCTTCAATAAGGTCCCAATAATGGTCGGAACCAATAAGGACACTATCAATAGAATCGCTAGAATCGTTGGAAACTGTCCGCTAGTTGTAACCCTTGTAAATGGGGATACTGATCCACTTTGATCTTCGTAGATAAAGGAGAGCAAATGAATGGAAAGCTTAGGGCAGAAATCATAACATCTTCGTTTTTGTTGCTTCGGAGTGACAATGACGATACTTCACATTTCTGCTTTCGATAATTTCGTTCACCGAAGGTGTTGAGGTGAAGTGTTTCGGTCTTCTTGGCTTTTATGTTCAATCTTGATTTCAAACTATCAGTAATGTAGGAGCGTTGACTCCCATTGTCAAATAATATTTTTACTTTAGTCGATTTAGATCCATCTTCATTTGTTGCTATAGCAGTAGCAGTTTGTAACATAACTTGTCCTTTTGCATTGGCACTAGTTGTAGTACTCTGTACATGAACTGCGTGGGCATTAGAGTCTGGGGTTTCAGTTCGATTTTGAAATTGTTGCAAGGTTTGGGAACCATGAACACCTTCGTTTCCCTTTGTTGCGGCTGCTGGCTCGTGTGCATCAGGTTTCAATGTCGGAATTTGTTGATTGCAGATGGATTGATGATGTATACCATTACACCGTCTACAACCCCTTTGATTTGAACACTGATTACTTCGATGTCCCCTTTTGAGGCAAACAAAACATCTTCGATCTCGTTTTAGGATTTCTAGTCGAGCATGCACTTCGTTTGTCTTTGTGCAAGAGGCAGAAAAATGATGGCCAGAACAATACACACATTGAATTTTATTTCCAGAGGGTTGGCCATTAGCCACCAATGCAGCAGCAGAACCATGGGGCGGTGGCTTAGGCTGTGCTGCCTTGGGTTTTTCAGGAGTCACTTTGATTCCGTCACTTATCCCACACATCTTGTGCAGTATTTCTAGCTATCTGAAGTCGGACATCTTGTGGCAATTTTGACATGACAACCGGTATCAGAAGGCTGCCGTATTGGCTTGAGTTGACCCCCAGGGCTTCTAATCCCCGGACATTGATGCTAATTTTATCATAAACGAATCGTAGTTGTGAGGTCTTATCTGTGGTACATGCTGGAATTTTAAGGAGTTCATCCATATGCGTAGAAATAATGTACTGGGTTTTACCAAAACGTTGATTTAAAATATCGATAGCTGACTGATAGTTGCTTTCAGTTAGGGTTAGTCCTTGAATTGCCCGTAAAGCCTGTCCCTCCAGTAATGAATTTAAATGATTAAATTTGTCTATCTTCGTTAAATAGCTGTTGGTATGTATGGCACTATTAAAACTATCCCAAAAGGTTCTCCACTGAGTGACATCGCCACGAAATTTCGATAATACAAGCTTTGGTAATTTTGATCGGTTTTGGGTTAACACAGGCACATTATTGTTGTTAATATTAATAGAATTTTGTTCAGTATTCACTGTACCTGCAGATTCGGTTGACTCGGGTTGACTTGGTGACACAGATTGACTATTGCTAGTGTAATATAGCTAATTAATATGCTAATAACTAATCCAAATAGGAATAACTAATCAGTATTCAATATATAGTTCACAAACACTATAACACGCGTTTATCTCGTTTTATTGAGTCTTAAACACTACATTCTGGCGACGAGGATACACAATTGGAGTTAGTAAACACGTTTAGTCAATCTACAACGTCGTCAAAACATCGAATTTCAAAGCGCAAATTCGTATAAAAACAAGATTTTCGTGTGACCACGAGGAAGCCATTTCGCGCCATTTTCACAACAACAATATATTTCGATATATTTTTCGTATAAAGTCGTTCGCCGTTTTCTACATCTATCCATGGCAGCTACTAGTTTCTCCTTGCCGACATTCCCGCCATTCGATGTCCATGCCGATGGAAATACCGGTCATCGCTGGAAAAAATGGCTAGGCCGCTTTGAACGGTTGCTTGTGGCGATGAATATTACCGACAAAAAACAACAACGTGCGATGCTATTACATTTCGCAGGACCGGCTGTTGACGAAATATTTGACACCCTTTCAGACACTGGCGAAGCGAAAGACTACGACAAAGCGATAGAAGCACTCAATGCCTATTTTATTCCGCACGTAAACACGGCGTTTGAAGAATATAATTTCCGCCAAGCGAAGCAAAACCAAACCGAAACCCTAGATGCCTTTCATACACGTTTACGTCAGCTATCGCAAAATTGCTCGTTTACAGATGTCGATAAAGAGATAAAGAACCAAATAATCGTTGGTTGCTCATCACAGAAACTTCGAAGAAAGGCTCTACGTGAAGACCCGACCTTAAAGAACCTTTTAGACGCGGGGAGAGCCGAAGAAACGAGTCAAATACAAGCGCAATTCGTGGAGAAACAAGAGTCAAGTCAAAATATCAACGCCATTAAGACGGGCGCTCTCGAGAAACATAACCCCTCGCCTCGCGACATGAGAAAACCACAAAATCAACGTCACGGCTCAAATTATCAAAGAAATTTCAACAAACCCCACACATCAACTTGCCGCAACTGTGGTGGTATCTACCCCCATGCCCGAGATTGTCCAGCCAAAGGAAAAGAATGCCATTCCTGTAAAAAAACTGGCCATTTTGCAAAGGTATGCCGATCGACCCCTAAACACAAACCTCACGAACACCGGAACAGAGTCAACAACCTTTCTGAACAACCGAGCACTAGCCCTCATGATGTCGACCCTGATTACATTTTCACTTTGAAAAACAATTCGAACAGCAAAACCCAACCCCCCAAATGCCAAGTGTTGGTTAAAGAGCACCTTATTGATGTCATTATTGATTCTGGAGCTTTGGTAAACATCATTGACAAGTCCACATACAAGCAGCTCAACCAAAGTAACACCCTACCTCTCAAGCAGCCCGAGTCCAACATCTTCCCCTACGGTACAAGTGTCCAGATACCCATTTTTGGAATGGGAATGGTTACCATTCAGTTCCAGTCCACAACTTTGGATGCCAATTTCTATGTTGCCATGGAAACCAGTGGAAATCTCTTAGGTTGCCAAACAGTTAGGAATTTTAAAGATAACCATTAACACAGCAGTTAGCTCTTACAACGCTCGCATTGAAGATGAGTTCCCAAATTTGTTCAGTCGTATTGGGAAGATAAAGAAAAACCCAAGTCCAGTTGCATATCGACACCGACGCTACACCCAAACAGCAAAAACATCGTTGCATTCCATTCCACATCCGAAAGGATGTTGAAAAGGAACTCCAGCTTTTAGAAGACCTTGATATCATTGAGCAAGTTGATGGTCCGACACCATGGGTCAGCCCAATCGTTGTGGTGCCCAAGAAAACTGGAGAGATCCGATTATGCATGGACATGTGTGAAGCGAATAAAGCAGTGCAAAGAGAAAAACACCCCATGCTGACTGTCGACGAGTTAATCACGGACCTCAATGGTGCAACAGTGTTTAGCACCCTAGAGCTTGCCTCAGGTTACCACCAACTGGAGTTACACCCTGAATCCCGCCATATCACAACCTTTACCACTCTCATTGGACTTTGACATTACAAGCAACTAATGTTTGGCATTAACACAGCCTTGGAGATATTTCAGAATGAAATTGCAAAACTGCTGGTTGGATTACCTGGTTGTAAGAATATTTCAGGCGACATCATGCCTATGGTCGAGATGACAAAGAACATGATGAGAACTTACGAGGCGTGATTGAGAACTTACTTGATAAATGTTCCTTCAGTCAGCACCAAGTACTATTCTTTGGGCACACACTCAGCGCAAGTGGAGTTCAGGCAGACCCAAAGAAGATCGACATCATCCGGAATATGCAACCTCCAAGAAATGTCAGCGAAGTCAAGTCCCTTCTCGGAATGACCCAGTACGTATCTCGGTTTATTCCCAACCATGCCTCCATCACAACACCCTTGCGTACCCTGACCCACCAGAATGCCAAATGGCAAGCGGAACAAGAGAATGCCCTGAAAAAACTTCAACACGAGCTTACAAATGATCCTGTTATGGCTTACTTTGACCCTTCGAAACCAACCACCATCACTGTTGATGCCAGCCCCAGGGTGTAGGAGCACTGCTTACTCAAGAAGGCAGAGTTATCAGTTATGCAAGTTGTGCACTTTCCAGTGTAGAATCCCGCTATTCACAAACTGAACAAGAGATATTAGCCGTTATATGGGCTATCGAACACTATCATCTTTACCTCTATGGTGCTAAGTTTACTGTCATCACCGACCACAAGCCACTACTCGAAATCTTCAAAAGTGAGAAACTGACTTCAGCGAGAATAGACCGTTGAAAACTAAGACTGATGCCCTATGATTGTGAAGTTGTTTACAAACCAGGGAAAGATGCAGAAAACCCTGCCGACTGTCTCAGCCGTCACCCCAACCCTGTTGTTTCTTCGCCCACCGACAACACCACCGAAGCATATATCAACTATTTGTGCATCAACCTCATCCCCAAAGCTATGAAACTAGAATAAGTGAAGAACTGCTAGTGACCCAGTCCTTTGCAAGCTTTCTGAAGCAATCACACACAACCGATGGCTCGATCCTGAAGTGAAACCGTTTGTTAACATAAAGGACGAACTGACTGTCTGAAATGGATTAATCATCAGAAACCACTGCCTGGTGCCACCTCATTCACTGCAGAACCAAGCCATAGATCTTGCACACGTAGGCCACCAAGGTATAGTCAAAAAGAAAATGCTACTTTGTGAAAAGGTCTGGTTCCCCTCCATAGATAAGATGTTGGAACAGAAAGTCAAGACGTGCCTGTCATCCAACCACAGGTACCATCGACATCCAGAACCCTTGATCATGACACCGCTGCCCGACACACCATGGCAAGAGGTTGCTGTCGACTTTGTTGGTCCGTAACCCATCAGGCGAGCTGCTACTCGTTATCATCAACAAATTTAGCTGATTCCCCGAAGTAGAAATTGTCACCAGTACGAGCGCAACAGCAGTCATCCCAAAGCTGGATAACATATTTTCCTGCCAAGGTGTCCCTGTTGTTCTTAAAAGTGATAATGGTCCGCCATTTAACAGCTCGGAATTTGAACAATTTGCCAGTTACCTTGGTTTCGAACATTGCAAAGTCACTCCATATTGGCCAAAGGCGAACGGTTTATGCGCACCATTGAAAAAGCCATACGTACAGCAAACATTGAGAAGAAGAACTGGAAACAAGCCTTAAAAATCAATTTCTCCGCCAGTACAGAGTCACACCACATAGCACGACGAATGTGTCACCATCCAAGGCCCTGAACAATCGAAAGTTGAAGATACCACTTCCAAGTATTCCAAAAATTCGGCAACAAGAAACCCAAGATCCAATGCGAAAACAAGATCAAGAAAAGGAAGAAAAGATGAAGAAATACTTAGATCATCGACAACACTCGAAAACAACTGATCTGAAGATAGGAGACACAGTCCTGATCTGCCAACCAAAGAAGAACAAGCTTACCCCACCGTTTAACCCCAAACCATTCACTGTTGAAGCTCTGAAAGGAACTATGGTTACCGTCAAACGTGGCTTGAAGATAACACGCAACATATCCTTCTTCAAAAAGATCGATAATCGTGTAACGGATAGTTCAGCTGACGAAGATGATGACGACGATTTTGATTGCGACCGAACCAAGGAAGCCCAACACAATCAAGAACCTGCTCATTTACGAAGATCCCAGCAAGAAAAAAGACTACCAAATAGACTTGGATTTGAACATTGAACTATCAATGACTATAAACACAAATTACATGTTAACAGTTGAAATTTGTTTATGTTTAAATTCCTATTGCCGTTTCGGGTAGAGGAGACATTTTGAATAACATATAACGTGCAGAACAGTGTCTTGAAAGTTCATTCATCGAAGCCAGGAAAGAGTTCGAACAAAATTTCTTAATAAACAACATTTCTTTCTTGTCTTTACTCTTTCAACGTACTTATGTTTATAATAAACACTCACGAATGATATGTGTTAAACATCGTTTTTTATTAGATCAGCCGAACTATGGAACTGTCTGCCCTCATACCTTAAAGTCTACCACTTGCTACCTGCATTCAAGTCTACTCGAATTAACTTGTACATTACAAAGTTATCAACATACAGTCCTCCTGGTTGTTCCGGCTAATTATAGTCATTCCTGAACTTCTTTTTGTCATGTTAGTCGTTTCCAAATATGTGTATATGTATATAAATGTATACAAAAGTATAATGTATTTTGTTGAGTATAGACAAATAGTACATTGCATATATTGTAAGGGGTTAGGTTTCAAGTGGGACGAAAGTCCTGTTCCGTTCTCCTGTCACATAGTTATCTTCATCAATGTAATTCTATTTTTTTGTATGGTGACAAATTCAATAAATAAATAAATAAATAAAATAAATAACCATTCTATTTAAAATTAAAAATATTTACTAAAAAAATGGGTCACAAAATATATTTCATATAAAAACCTTGTCAGTTGTTTGCCATCTTTAAAATATAACATGTACTTGGTGTAATACTTATTAAATAGTTTACCGCTGCAGTACGGCACACAAGGCAGTTAATTCTGTTACATGTTGGCGATCTACATGGATCCGACTTCTGTAACATTTGTTTGAGGGTGGCACCCGACTTCTCCACTACCTTGACCTTAAACCCTTGTCTCTTCATTTCTCTTTGATATCTCCTCTGCAACTCTGATCCACAAATATTACAGATGGCACAAATATTACAGATTCATCACCATTTTTCTTGTACCAATTCTGCTTCCATACCTTCGCCTCTTCTTGTTCATTCTCATGCCAATTCTTAGGTCTATGCATCGGACTTACTCCTCCTCGTGGTTTAGTGCAACTGATCACCAACCATATTGGAAATGCTCAGGGTGGTCTTGCACAAAGATGGTCAGCTCAACAGAAGAAACATGTGAAGATTGGACGACCCCTTGTAGTGGAAGAATACAATATGCATATGGGGTGGTGTAGATCTTTGTGATATGCTGATGTTAGTATATTGCATACATCTACACTCAACCAAATATTATATGCACATGTTCTGCTATTGTATTACTCTTTCTGTCGTGAATGGTTGGCTACTCTATCGCAGACACTGCTTGCAAAGAGACATGTCGACAAAGTCTTAAATGAAACTACTACAGTTCCAATCTACTATAGCAACCACATTATTTGTGGCTGGCAAGGAACAAAAACCACAACGTGGTAGACCATCTTTTACTCCTCCTTCCAAGAAGAAAACCAAGGGTCATGCTACGCCAACCCCAGTTGACGATGTCAGATATGATGGAACTGGACATTTACCTGACTTCAGTGAGAAAAAACAATGTTGTCGCTTTTGTCCAAACAGTTATTCATTTGTCCAGTGTTTGAAATGTAAAGTAAATTTGTGTTTTGTCAAAGGAAAAAACTGTTTCAAGGACTTTCACTCAAAGTAGAGAGAATCATCAGGAAGCAATCTGTTTAGAGATACTGTAAATATTCGATATGAGTCATATTTCTGCATATATATATTTTGCATATACTTTTAATATAGAACAAATAACAGTGCTTTACACAACTATATAACAGTGCTAAAACATCTCTAAAACATTCATAATCAATACTAAAATATTTTTTTCATAAATAAAACAAAATTCATGCAGGAAAGGGTTATAATCATCTGGCTTTTCTTTTGCAGCTTTGTTTTTCGGCCATCTTGAAATTTACATGTTCCGACTGCGCATCTGCAGACAGGAATATGCTGACACAGGCAAATGATGTGTGTGGGCACAAATGTCGCATATTTCTGGCCATGTTCTAAGTATGATATAAACCAATTCAAGGCACCCTCTGTAGTTCCATACACATTTACAGTAGTAGTAAACACATTTCTCCATTTTTCCCACATTTTGTTTGGGTCTAGTTCAACTTCTATATTAGACGAATTTAGTGTATAGAATAGATCCCTTCTGAATGCAAATTTGTTGTAGTTTTTAAAAGATCTAGTGTAAACAATTTTAGGAGGCGGTCTGCTGATTGCATGTTTGGTACACACATAAATCATGTAGTGGTCATTAATACCAAGACGAATTACTCCACCGGATTTTACTTTTTGAGGAATGTTTGTAATAAATATGTCAATCAGTGATGACAAGTCAATTGTGACTCGGGTTGGCTCTGTTATAATTTGCTCTAGCTGATAGATGTCCATGATATCTGTGAGTTGTTTACTAAGGACATTTTTTCAGCCTCTAGCAAATTACAATTTAAGTCGCCCACTATATGATATTCTTTGTCTTCCGCCTCAAGATTATGAATCATTACTTCAAAGTTGTCGAAAATCTCAGCCAGACTATTTGGTGGTCTATCCCAACTAATAATGAAAAATGGCTTGCTTTTTGTTCTTTTAATTTCCAAGCATATTGCTTCTAGACCATCTGGAATTAAATCTTGTCTCAAATTTGCATTTTTAGCTGTTTTAATATATAAAGCAAATCCACCACCTGCTCAGTTTCTATCGGCCCGGAATATTTCGTAACCATCTATTTTAATAAAACCATCGTTTATATCATCACTTAGTCTAGTTTCATTAATGATCAAACTTGCGATATTTAAATGCACTATCGAGAAGCCTTTAGGATCTGGTGGTTTATTCACAACTTGACTAGAGTAGAGTTCCTTTGAAGTTGTTATATTATTTTCTGCCAACCGCTCAGTATCATCAAAGATACTTCAGACAGTTTATATGATTAATAATGAAAAAATTTGCTTGAAAAAATTCTAAATATGCTAGTAAATACACATCTGAACAAGAAGTGCAACTTTATTTCAAATTCAATATTGATGTTTGCTCATTATTGTAATTCTATAGTCCGACATTTAGTATATACAAAAAAAGTAATTAGCAGTTATTAATCCTTGCAATTTTGAAGTTTGCGAGGTTGTGCCTTAATTTACTGTACATCGCTGGAAAGAACGTGAAATACTGGACAATATAGTCAAGTTCGGGAACAATTGAGAAAACAGATTCTGTGTAAATGCTTGCTTAATATACATGTTTGCGCAGTGTAATTCAATGAACAAAAGCAATTAGTACCTTATTAATCCTTGCTGTTTTAACATTAGTGAGCTTGTGCCCCATTTTGCTGTACATCATCAGAAAGAGCATGAAATACTGCACCATATAAAGTTTAAGTTTATGACATTTGCATCTTATATAGACAATCCTAATAGTGTAACTACATTTAACATGTATGATTATACATTGCAGTTGGTAAAAGCAATTTGATTGGCAAAGAGCTTACAGTTAAATTGCACATCACAAAACCTACACAAAATTCAGCTATCTGCTGGCAGATAACTGAGTTATCTGCAAATGAGCCTGCGACGATTAGCAAGCGGTATCTATTTAACACAAAGCAAAATTTTGAACAAACATAAATAAAGTTTTTTATGCGTTAATACTATGTTTATTATTCTTCAAATGTATAATAAAACAATTATTTAATTCGGTTTTTGCAATATGCAAAATTATCAAGGTCAAGGTAAGCGTTATCAGCCAAGTCGAAAACAAGGCTGATAACGCTTACCTCGACCTTGATAATTCCGCACGTCACAAAAACCTCATCCAATAATTGTTAATTAATAAAGTTTAGTAACACTTATTATTATTTGATGTTTGTGAATATTAAAAGAGAAAATTCTACTATAAAAAACTATCATTTTGAAATTTATTATTTATACATTCAGTGGTTCGGTTTGGACACTTTTGAAGAGACGACAATACTTCATGCAAATTGAGCAAGAATAGTATTGCGTCCTTTCATGTCATACTCGTATGATTCGTATCAACTAAACAAGAGTTTTTTGTGTGTTTTTGAATGTGTTTTATATTACTTTTATTTGTCTTTACCATGTACAGGTAAACATGCCTTTCAGACAAACAGGTGGGAAATTTGTCGTCGCTGACCAAAAAATTGCGGGCAGAAACAAAGCTCATATTTGCATTTACATTCAAAACAAAGCAGAAAGTTAGCAAGAAGCTGTTTTAGCTGACGATTTTTTGCTTTCCATTCAACGATTTACAAATTATTGGTTATTCTTTTAAAAGTCGATCATGAATTCTTTGTTTTGGGATGATTGTTTTGTAATCGAGTGATTGGAAGAAGTTAATATGGCGACGTGAACATGGGAATAAATACCGTATACGTCGATCTATGGCTTGTTTAAAACCGTAATAAACGAAGAAAGACGTGATTTGAGAATGAAATGTAAGTTGAAATTAACTTTATATGCCTCAAATTTTCCATCCTATGTTTCTTAATGTAACTTCAGCTGTCTAAGTTCAAAATACAAGCTCACGAAATTTGACAAATTTTGAAAATATGTAAAAATAGCTTGACTTTGAACTGTATTTTCTCAAAAATAGCCCGTGGCCTCAATTTCAAATATAGCTAAATGAAAAGAAAAAAGTTTTCGGCGTTTGTAGGTATCAAGCATATCATCAGGAAAATAGGGGCTCACAATGTTTTAGTTCAGTCTTTGAGACCCAGTTGCTTCGCACGTGTTGTGGTCAAATTTTTGCCAAGAATCAAAGGCCGAAATGTGAACTTCCTTCATGAAAACCGCTTCGAGAAGGGTGTAGTTTGAAAATTTAGCTATTAATTTCGATTTCATGAGCATATTTTGGTTACACGTTAAGTATTTTTGTGCTTGATGCGATTCAAAATTTGTTGTATATTCAAGCTCGGCTTTTGTGTAATTTTGGTGATGACCGGAACAGAAATAAATATATTTTAAAAACTGGCTGTGGCCTCACGATAAAACTTTCTACAAATGTTCTCTGTTTCATGTACTTTTATTTGATATCTTAGGTATAAGCGTAAAAATAGGGGCTCATGCAGTTTAAGAGGTTGTAAAATGCATGACTTGCCTCTATTTTCATGTAAACATTCGAAATTCTTCGACAGCAAAGTAGCAACTGTTTCAGATCGAATGCACACGGACAGCCCACCAGAGACAATGGCAGGGTACTGAAATAGAACGTCACTAAAAAGTTCTGTATGATTAATTTAGGTCATGTCCACTCTTTCAACATAAAACAGTCATTTATTTTGTACAAACATTTTGCAATATTTACACGATTGTGCTTTTTTGTAAACACGCGTTGCGTGTATTCCACACAATTGCGTTACTCATTTTACTCGCGCATGCTCAGACAAATTTCCCACCTGTTTTTCAGACAATGGTTAAATATATTTGTTGCCAATCAAGATGAATGGCAACGCTGCTTGTTCGCCGATCAAAAATAATTTCATGCCGATCATTGATTGGCCATTATTTCGAGCCCTGCTAGGATCAAGTGCCCTCAAAGGCACAGTGTCAGAGAAGGATCAAAGGGCAGAGCAGTTGTGTTTAACAATTGCAGATTTGATAAATTAACAATGTAATTTACTGTTTATACTATATCAAATCTGCAAATGTTGAAGTTGTTTAACAATGGTTGAATTGGACACTTGTTAAATTTATCTATTTAAATTGTGATATTAGGGCGGTTTATATGGAAAAAGCTAGCCCAGCTGTCTCACCAGGTTGATTACTTTCTTCCTTGTCTTGCGTTCAAGACTCTCTCAAAAGAGTTGATAAAAATATTCGGTTCAGACTAAGTGTAAACTGGTCTTTCAGTTAGTCAAAATTTTCCTTTGCGGCAAAGGACATATTTTCTTGACATAAATTAGTGCAGATAGCCCGCTTCATACAAACAGTATTATTATACATTTAATATGTATTCTCGTTTCTAATTGGTCAGAAAGCACCGGCTAATTTTCAGTATTCGGCATTTATTACGTATTTTCCGCCGATGACGTCATCAGCGTCCAATAATTGTTTTTTTGGATCGAACTTGCATCCAAAAAAAAAATTATTGGACTCTCTCGTGCCCAAACCCTTGCGCGGCCAAAAGCTTGAACCTATAAGCGCGGGGAAAAAAACAAACAATGGCCGACAGCAGATTTGCTTCGCTGAATGAAAGTGAACTCTCCAAATTATTGGCAGATAAGGATAGTGAAAGCACGAAAAAAGCCACAAAGGGGTAAATAGAAGTAGAAATATAATATTTAGCTGACCTTTGACTTTGTGCAAGGTATTTGATATTCAAATTGTACTTTTCCTACCTCATGAACAGGAATCGTTTATACGTTTCTCATGTCTTTAAATGTATAATAAAACAATTATTGGATTCTGCTTTCGCATGATATCAAGAATTATTCAGACCTCGGTCTATGTTATCCGCCTCAGCTTCGCTTCGGCAGATAACATTGACCTCGGTCTGAATAATTCTTGATATCATGCTCAGCCTCATCCAATAATTGCTTATTATCAAAACAGTGAAAAAACATTGTTTTAAAAAAGTAAAAACGTGTGATAAAAAGGCAATTATTTAGTTCTGAGCGACTATGGTGATTGAAAAGCACTTAAACATTGCCTGTGTTGCACAAAGTGAAGAAACCAGCTGGAAAAGGCAACATCGGCAGGGTTGAAGACCGGATTGAATTTTAAGTCGCAGCTGAATGACTGAATTGAGATTTGCTGAGCTGGTAGCTTTTTGAGTGATTTTTGCACATTTATCGAAGGTATTTATTGATGTTTATAAATTTAATTGCATGAATTCATTCGATTTGTATCAATTCAGTGGAATTTTCAAATATTTTCGACATTCAAACTAATGATGTAATTCTGTGCGTCTGTCCTCTGATAGATAATCGCTCTCGACCAATGAAATCACATGAATTCTTAAAGGACAATGGCAACAAATTTTTTTATTGTCTGTATTCATTAAGTTGAACCGGAACTTTAATATAGGCCACATTAGGTTAGGAGCCTGTACTGGGTTCCGAAATCCCGCCATCCTGACCGATTTTCACTTCAAATCCCGTTATCCCGCCATGCCTCACCCCAATTTCCCGCTCCCGACTTTTTTCATAACACTATTCAACGTATTATGATTTAAAGAACATTGTAATGACATAAAATACAATTCGAATACACCGGAATACAACATAACAAAGTTTATAAAATAATAAATGACTCTAGATCGTGACTCTTATGAAAGCAGCAATCATATATGTAAATGGGGGATTGATGGGGGACAAATGTTCGATATCATCCTGGAAAACAGTAAATTTCAAGCATACAAACAAATGACAACAGGTCAGCTAATGTACGGCTACAAGTTTTGTTTATTTATCCCGCTAATCGTGGGTTACTTCCCGCATATCGCCATGGTATTTTTATTAATCCCACTTCCCGCGATGGAATAAAATCCTGCTTCCCGCCAATATTTCTCTTAAAATCCCAAATCCCACTTGAATTTTAAATGCATCCCACCATCCCATAAAACTGGTACAGGCCCCACTTAGGTGCATGATAAGGGGCGGGGACTTTTACAAGTAATAGCTAATTTTAGCAAGATTGACATTTTGAAGTAAGAGTAATTAGTTGATAGACAGAGAATATAAAAACAACATTGGGACTGTGAGAAATTTAATATATTTTAGTTTTGTAAGTTTTATTTTTGGATTTTTGGATTAAATAATAGTATACTACGTGTGTGATGAGTTCGGTATAAAGTTTACTAATGGAATACTTAAGTTCATATTTTTGTTTGTCTGTTGCATTTAGTTGTTCAGAAAATTTGCGAAAATGTTTAGCAAATTTTAACAGTCGTCCGCCATCTTGGGAAAATTCCTCATATGCTAATTTACGCATGAATACATTTCGCGACGTAAATGGCAGGGTAAACGCAAATCCCACAGTATAAGTTACACTGTAACAACGTTGAGATTTGGAAGAAAATGTTTACAGAAAAATTACAGATACATT